ACCCCCAGGCTGACTAGTAGCTAATGTCCTGAGCCCAGAGTGGAGGACAGTGTCTTCCAGAGATGGGGCCATAGCCATGGCAGGGAGGCCCACCCCTCCCACCTGGGGCTCAACCCCAGGCCACTTTGTTGTTTTTTTAAAGGTTTGTTTTATTTATTTATGCATGTAAGAGTTGGGGTGCAAGTCAGAGGTGCAGAGGCAGGTGTGTGCATCAGAGGATTCACTAGAGACAGCGGGGAGCAGAACAGGCAGATGTACTGAAATCCACTGCTAGGGGGAGCAGCGGGCTGGACAGGAAGGATCTGCCGTCCCATGTGGGTCAGCTCCCTGGCGGGAGACCAAACTCGTCCTGCAGTGGCCACCGAGAGCTTCACAGTACTGCGACTGAACCCCTTTCACAACGAGGCCCACAAACCACTTTGCTTCAAAGGACATGGTCAACCAGCATCTCTGGTAGATCCATCACCACGTGCTGCCTTGGAACGTTACAAAGGAAATGGCGTCTACAGACCCCTGTCCCAAAACCTCCAGGGTCAGAGGGAACAGGACTTTTCCAAGGGCAGGTACCCAGGCCTTACCCCAGAGAGGCTCAGTCAGCAGGTCCAGGTGGCTCGTGTCTGCATTTTCAACAAACTCTACAGCTCCTGCCACTGTGAAAGTTAAAAGCCGCTGGTAGAGAATCAGCATTCCGGTTCCTCCTGTCACGAGTTGACGGAGCTGAAATAATTCACTTGCTCTTTTGACGCCTCCTCGAGCCCCCTCTTCATCTGCACCACGGGGCCTGCTAACCTGATGGGTTGGCCAAGATTTACGCCAGATAACGGGTGTTGTGTTAGGATGAAAAATGCCCCCTCCCCCATTGTCCACGTCAGTCCCCGGAACCTGTCAATATCCGCTGTGGAGAAACAGGCTCGGCAGTGTGATCAAGCTGAAGGGCTTGAGATGGGAGGTGACACTGGACTATCTGGGGGGCCCCCGTCCATCACAAGGGTCTTACAAGGGAAAGACGATTTGACACAGAGAAGATGGCAGAACGCGGCACAGCCCTGGGCCAGGATGCAGCACGCTCAGCAGCAGAGTGGGTGTAACTGCTGTCCCTCACTGCTGCATCACCCCAGCATTAAAGGTGGGGTGCCGCCTGGGGTTGCTGCTTTGCACCGGAGGTCTGGGTCTGTGAGTGACTCCTGCAGGGGTCCATGTCTCCCGATACTGAACAGCACCCAAAAGAACGAGGTGTGAATTCACCCCAAGCAAGCGGGCTTCACTAGTGCCGTATTTGGAATTCTTCTTTCTGATCAAGCGGGAAGGCGCGATGGGGGGACTCGTGGAGTATGAAGAATGGAGGGTGTTTTTAAGTATTTGCACGTTGACCCAGCCAACACTTGTTCAGTGATGTGAAGGGCTGAATTCTGTAAGACTCATAAAAAGTTTAAGCCTCTTAGAAATAAGAACCTCAGTTATAATAAGCCTGGAATGCACACAGTTCCTATTATCCCAGGAGCTCAGGGAATGTCTCCTGATTTCCTCTACTCTAGTCACACTCCCAGGAGGTGATCTGTGCATTTTGAAGAGGTCATTCTCGCTGTGGCCACTCCTGGAGCCCCCACTCCAGGCCACCCCTTGCCCCCAGGTGTCCCCTCCCACCCTACTGCACTAAATGACCTTCAGTTCCTGATGGCACTTCAGGGGCCTCAGCCTGATCATGTCCCAACTTTTCAGCCGTCGGCCACCACCCCCATGCTCACCATCAGGCACCATGTTATGGGGGGGGGGACAGGCTGTAACTCATCTCTCTCTGCACCCCCCTGTGCCATTTGAGGCCTGTTACCCTCTGGGCTGTTCCCCCGATTGCCTGGCTGGGTGGCATGGAAGGACAAAGCTCACCCTGCCTCTGAGCCAGCCTCAGCTGATGGATAAATCACAGACAACCACGTGTCTACACAGCTGTGTCCTGGGCAGCTGCGGTGGCTAGTGGTGAACGTACGTGAAGTTTATGCTGAGAGGTGGACTCGTAATGCTTTGCACCTGAAGCCTATCAGCCACCTATGCTGTGTCAACTTAAAAAAGAACAATGGAACAGAGACCTGATGGCCAGGCCCGTGATGACCAGGGCTCCATCCAGAGATGCGTCAGTGTGGGCGGAGAGGAAGCCAGGTCGCTGTGACTCTGCTGTGCGCTCAACTGTGGGCCTCGGGCCATCCCACTGGGGTTTCCTGGGACCTTAATCAGAGGGAAATCCCTGGGCCTCGGCCAAGACCAGGCTGACTCAGCATGTCGGGCTGGTGGCAGAAATCTGCCTGGTTACCAGCCCACTTGGCTCTGCTGTGCCTTGGTGTTTGGAAGCCAAGGCCCTCCTTCACCCCCACCTACCTGTCCGCCCGCCTCCTTGATAAGACCCAACTAAGGCCACCTGGCCACTTCTTCAGTCTCTGCTCATTCCACCCCTGAGACACCCACCATTGCTCACCCCGACACAGCAATCAGGCTCACTTGGCCTGTGGCGCTGGAGGAGACAGGAGCTGGAGTAGAAGCGGAGAGATCTGAGGGCCAAGGAGCCCGTCATGGGCACAGGTGGCTGAGGCCTGGGCTACTCCCGCAGGTCCCTGGCCGCTTCCTTAAATGTGTGGGTCTCAGTCCTTGGCCTGTGAAATGAGAATCATGTTACCTCTCTAACTCAGACCCACTGAAGGAATAAAAGGGATGATGAATGTAAAATGCGTAGGGTGGTACTAGATATCTGTATTGATTCTATCTGCCTGTCTACCTGTCTATCTCGCTCTCTCCCCTCCTCTCTGTCATCTAAAGCTTCTAAACACTTCTTGCTGTTTACCTGGAAATCCCCAAACCAGTGGATGGGAAATTCAGTCTTTCATTTTCCTGACATAGATTTGGGGCCCACAGTCAGTAAATACCAGGGACAAAGTCCTTTGGCTGTTTTTCCCTTCTCACTACTGGCCTCCCCAGTCTTGTTCTAAAATGCATGGACTCTTGCAAACACAGCAGTAGGCATATGTTAAGCTGCCTTATCCGATATGGCTACCTATAAATAAAAAACCTTAGTGAAGGTAGACTGGGCCACTTATTTTGCACGTGGGAAAGTAAAACAAGGAGTTAAATGTCCCACTCGGGTCATACCGCTAGCCAGGGAAGACCTGCCTTAGAGCCCTACAGGGTTCTACCATCCCCACTGCGGAACAGACACCCTGACCAAGTCACGCTTCAGTCATGGGGAGTGCAGCCCGGGGACACCTGCTGTGGCTAAACGCAGAGGTTCACCCAGTGAACCTCCAGTTCATTCCAGAACCTCCAGAACATTCCAGAACCTCCAGAACATTCCAGTGCAGCACCAGCCGAAGTCTGGCCTTTGGGGCTTAGGAAGGTCAGGCAGTCACAGACCTGCTTTATAGTTGCTTCTGGAACTCCTGAACTAGTGTCTAATCAATGTCTTGTGATCACATGGATTACCATTAGGGCACTTCCTCATAGCCACATCAATAATGCAGGCCAAGTCACTTGGATTTATTGCTAATATCAGAATATTTGCTTCCAAATATGTGTATGGATTTTAGATGTGACTTGGAAGGCAAGATCTCGCCGTCTGCATTGCATGTTGGGATTTTATTGGTCAACAGAAAATAAATGTATATTAATTAGTGTAAGAGCAAAACACCAGTAATGATTAATTAATATTTGTTAAAATTGTTGCTTTTCACCCCAAAGAAGTAATGTTTACAAGGTTAAATAAATGGGGGAAATAGAGTGATGAAATAGTGTTAAGAAAGCGTACTAATCAGATCATTTGAAGGATAATAGTGTTGTGATTCTTAGTAAGAAATCTGTAATAGCCTTTGTCCTATTTTTGGTGCACAGCCCCAAACCTTTGGAATTTCCTAGGGGAATAAGGGTGAATGGGTGTCTTATTCATAAAAGGCTCCTTTGCACCTCAGATGGGTTTATGGCAATGACGTGACCTTGGGACTGCATTAAGGAAGGAACTATTGGTAAGACGCGACCCTGTGACGAGAGTTGGAGCTCTCAGTGTCCCCTCACCCTATTCCCCACCTGGGGGGAGAAGGCTGGAGATGAAGCCCCATCACCAAAAACCACCGGTTTAAATCAACTGTGCCTATGTAATAAAATCTCCATAAAAACCCAAAAGAACCAGACTCAGGGCACTTCCAGGTTGGTGAACATGTGGAGTTTGGGGGGAGACTTCCAGCTTGGAGAGGGCTTGGAAGCTCTGTGCCCCAGAACCAGCCCTTGAATCACCTCCATCATCTATGTTTTTTGAACCAACACATTTGTAGATAGGAAATAACACAAAGCAGAATATCAGACTATCTATTTTTTAAGCCTAATCTTTTCAGAGTGGTTGCAATAAATGTATAACATTAAACAGAATAACCCATAAAAATTACATTTAATTTTCAGTAATTTAACTCCACTTAGCCCGCAGTGCTGGCTTCACTGTGGGGTCAGATGAAACTGAGCCCCTGCTGAGATTAGCAAATGGGCCGCAGAGCAGTGACCAGGAATCAGCGGCCAGAAGACCGAGCGAGACTCACTCGACTGAAGTGGCAAACTATAAATTTACTCAAATGTTTAACGATAAAGTGTCATTATATTTTTCATTAATTAAGGTGACGTACTGTCAAGTGACGCTGGCATCTGCGCCATTACAGAATTACTCCCCTCACCCTGGCAGCCTGTGTGTGTGGAAATGCAAGGGAGCAGGAGCTCAGGGAGCCCCTTCTTTCCCCCACCCCCGCACACCCACTGGGGGGTGTAAGGTGGCCTTGGTTTGCAGGCTGGTTGTGTAGACAGGAAAGGTGAGCGGATCTGGAACTCCCGATTTCTCGCAGGTGCACTGGCAGCCAAACCGGCGCCCGTGGCCTGGAGGAATCCTCCGAGGCTCTGGGACGGCAGGATCCTGGGGAAGCCAAGTCCCTGCTGTGAGGGCAAGAGGCCTCTTACCTGCCTTTCTCTCTGCCCCCTGGTAGTTTGTGAAGTTTGCCAACATCGAGGAGGACACGCCATCCTACCACCGGAGCTACGACTTCTTTGTGTCCCGCTTCAGTGAGATGTGCCACTCCAGCCACGACGACTTGGAAATCAAGACGAAGTAAGTCCAAGGGGGTGGGGAGGCGCTGAGTGGCCAGCCCAGATGGCATGATGCCCTTGGCACTGACCTCTGCTGTGACCTTGCGCTGGAAGAAGGAGCACTTGGCAGATGTCACTGGGCAAGCGGACAGACTGGGCTCCCAACATGTGCTTTCTTAAGGAAAGGGCTCTGGAGGCAGAAAACAGGGTGAGGGTCCGCTGAGCCCAGTTTGAGAGCACAAGAGCTCACACCCATGCGCAGCAGCTCACACACCACACAAGAGCTCACACACCACAAAGAGCTCACACACTGCACGAGAGCTCACACTTAGGATAGGCTGGGGGGAAGGGACCAGAGACCAACACAGCTCAGTTACACTCACAGCAGGCTTAGTCCTCTTAGGTATCAGGCATAGAGAGAGTAAGACAACACAATAATGGTTATCTTGAGGGGTGACTGGGAGGGAAAATCTTCTTAATAGATTTCTATAATTACATTGTTTTATGTATAATCTGAAAAAAGTTTGATTAAAATAAGAAGGATTAAAAAAGGAACTCAGGCAGAAATACATGGCAGGAAAGGGGGGTCCCTCCCAGGCGGCCAAGCTGACTCCAGGTTGGTACGTGAGGACCAGGGGCGCTCTCCGAGCTGTTACTCAGCTTCCCCTCTGGTTTCCCAGAAGGCACAGCCCTCCCGTGGGCCTTAGAGCCAGTTTCCCAGCGGGCACAGCCCTCCCGTGGGCCTTAGAGCCGGGTGTCTGTGTTCCTCTCCCAACCCCCACCCTCGCCTAAGTGGTTCACGGCCCTGGATTCTTCCTCTTCAGTTCTTGGCATATCTTGCGGTTCATATCTTAGGCTCAGCTTGGAACAAGCCCAGCTGAATATTAGAGTCTGGAACAACTGGCATCCTAGGGATGAAGCCCAGGTGGTACTGGGAACAGGGAGTCTGGGAATCTCCAGGATGAGCCAGAAGACATGGTTTCCTGGGCTCACGGCCACCAACTCAAGAAGCCAGCCAGCTGGGAACTGTACGACGAGTAGAAGAGGGCTCCGTCCTGCCTTCTGATGGACAAACGCTTCCCTCCCCCGGCACTGTGCTCCTCCCCGTGCCCTGGAGCTGGGCTTCTCGGGGCCTGAGTCTGCCCACCCTCTTCCTACAGGATCCGAATGTCTGGCATCAAAGGCCTGCAAGGGGTGGTGAGGAAGACAGTGAATGACGAACTGCAGGCCAACATCTGGGAACCACAGCACATGGACAAGATCGTGCCGTCACTGCTTTTCAACCTGCAGCACGTGGAGGAGGCTGAGAGGCAAGTGGGGCAGGGGGCACGCACAGCCCTCTCTGGCTGAGTGGCCCAGGGGTCCTGGGCGGGCCGGTGACACCAGCTGCCAGGGATCTCGGCTTTGTGGCTCGTTGTGCAGTGAGCCCAAGGCTTGGCTCCCTGATGGGCTCAGCTTGGCTCAGGTAACACTGAGTCACACCGAGCCAAGCCTGGAGGTCTGTGCCCGTGAAGGAAACAAGCAGGGTTGCTGGGCTCCGTGGGGGGTGGTTTGGGCAAATACGAACACAAAGAACTAAGAGTCCAGTTTCCCTTGTCTCTCTCACAGCAACAGGCCAAGGAGGTTTTTGTTGTTGTTTTTTTAAGATTTACTTATTTGTGCATACAGAGCTGGGGTACAGGCCAGAGGTTCAGGGACGGTGAGAGGCTTCACCAGAGACAGAGTGGGGAGCAGGACAGGCAGATTGACAAAGTACACTGCTGAGGGGAGCAGCGGGCGGGTCAGGAGAGGTCTGCCACGCCATGTGGTCACCTCCGGGGCAGGCGGGGATCGAACTCATGCTGGAGTTCCCACTGCTGTGCTGTAACCCGCTGCGCCACCAGGGAGGGCCCAGGCCAAGGAGGTTTTTAAGTGCCTGTCTGTGGCCGCAGCTGCTGAGGATCTTCCCTCCTCCCTGACCTTCCTCCTGCCCTCACTTCCCAATTATTTCGGGCCTTTGTGTTTCTGCCTCACCAGCTAGCAGCCTCTCCACACCAGTGCCTGGGTTTTAACCTGGGATCCCCTGTGCCCGCCCGCTGCCCCTGTGAAATGGGATGGGATGTGCCCCACAGATAGCAGGGTCAGGGGCGCCTGTGCGGCTAGAAAGTCAGTGTGCCCTCTGCTGGCCATCCCTGGAACAGCACCTCGCTGGCCAGTGAGGTCAATGAAACCTGCTCTCCTGGTCTCTTGTGCTCCCGAACACTGCTGGCGCCTGGGCGCCTTCTTCCCACCATCTGTGACTTAGAAAACATTGAGTCACACCTGAGCCAACCACCTTGCCTCTGTTTTCCCCCTTCCTCCTTCTCTCCTCTACTTTATTTTGCTCTCTCCTGTTCTCCCTGCCTCCCCCTTGTCATACTTATTATCCCCTTTTCCTTGCAAAGCTTTAGGGGCATGGAGATACTTGTGATCAGGGCATCAGGGTCCAGAAAGGGAAATAGAACCCCTCTCCCATGATCTTCCTCCCCTCTGGGCTTCTTCACCTCATTAAATTTCCAACCTAGGCCAGCCAGTCACTGCTCTGCTAAACCCAGGTGAGCACAAGGCCTGACCCCCCGGCTTTGCCTTCCATCCGTTACCCACTGGCCATGTGTCTCCACAGTCGGTCCCCCTCGCCCCTCCAAGCGCCAGAGAAGGAAAAGGAGAACCCAGCCGAGCTGGCCGAGAGGTGCCTTCGGGAGCTGCTGGGCCGGGCGGCCTTTGGCAACATCAAAAATGCCATCAAGCCCGTTCTCATGTGAGTGCCCCCACCCCAACCTGGGCTGCTCAGGCCCAGCACCTGCTTGCCGACCGGAGGAGGGAGGCTCTGACAGGGGTGGGGTGTGGCCAAGCCCGTCCCCGCTCTGTACCTGTGCTCCCTGCAGTGTGGCAGTGAGGGCTGCCAAGGGCGGGCCAAGGGCAGTGGGAGGCGGGGAGGTGACAGGAGGGAGGTGCCCGGCTCTGTCCCTGTGTCCGCAGTTACAGAGCCTTTACCTCACTCTCCCTTGGCCTGGGATTGCCTAGGGGTCCCTCCTGCTTCCCTTCCTCCACTTAACTGGTGGCTGTGGGAGGGGCTCCGCCCCTCGGGAGATACTTTCTCTTATGGCTCCTCCCTGGCATCACTAGGCACTCCCTAGTCAGCCCCATGTTTTCTCCCCCACAGACACCTGGATAACCATTCTCTTTGGGAACCCAAGGTGTTCGCCATCCGCTGCTTTAAGATTATCATGTACTCAATTCAGGTACAGTGGCCCCCCGATCTAGCTTGTCTCCCCGCCAGGCTGCCTCTGGGAACAGGATGGTGCACTAAGGGAAAAAGCTGTCCCCCCACCAACTTCTCCTGAGCCCCCACTTTTCCAACCAGTGCTGCTTAGCCTGTCTGTGGAGAAGAGCTAATGCAGTTTTGTGTCTAATATGTCACAGACCAATATTTTATAAAATACCGTTAAAAGGAGTCAGAAATAAAGTACTCGTACAAAATGCAAGCCCTCGGGTCAGGCGTGGCTGCCAAGGCACTGTCCTGTTGCTTCAGTTTCTGCACTTAATCTCCATGGAAACGGCTGCCTCGGAGAGATCTGGTTCTAGACCACGGGGCCACACTAAGCAGCAATGGTCTAAGCTAGGTGGTCCTCACCTGGGGTCTTGAAAAAATGAAAAAGACAATATTTTTAAATTGATTTTTACCCCATTTGAAGTGAAAGGGCACTGGGATTTCATCCTACTCCTAGTTAGATCCAGGCGGGAGGGGGGAAAAGCAGCTGGCTGGCTGGTGCCCATCTCGTCCAGTGCCACTGGCCTGGACGCCACTGTCCAGCCAGGCTTTCGGGGCCGGGTGGAGGGCCGCCCTGGCTCAGAGGCCTCGTGGGGGTGGCTGTTTGGGGACCAGCACGTCTTCCTCCCCACAGCCGCAGCACTCCCACCTGGTTATCCAGCAGCTCCTGAGCCACCTGGATGCCAACAGCCGCAGCGCGGCCACCGTGCGGGCCGGCATCGTGGAGGTCCTGTCCGAAGCTGCAGTCATCGCCGCTACCGGCTCTGTCGGTAAGGGGCCCTGAGTGAGGGGTGGGGCCCGGGAAGGCGCTGTGGACAAAGCGCTGCCCCGCCGGCGGCGCCAGGCGAGAGGCCTTAAGGAGCTGTCAAAGCCAGAAGAGAAGCACGTGGCAGGAAGCGCACCGGCCTTGCCGGGTAACGTGGGGCAGGGGAGAATGAGCGGGCGCGCCAGCCCTGGTTTCAGGAACCCGCTCTGCCGCCACAGGGCCCACGGTGCTGGAGATGTTCAACACTCTGCTGAGGCAACTGCGCCTCAGCATCGACTATGCCCTGACCGGGAGCTACGACGGGGCTATCAGCCTTGGCACCAAGAGCATCAAGGAGCACGAAGAGCGCATGTTCCAGGAGGCTGTCA